TTCAGGAGTTCACGTTACCCATATCGATTACTTGCAATAGCTACATTGAAATGTAGGTTGCCTTACCTGTTGTTTTGAATCCTTGCACAAATAATACCCAAAAGTGGGTGAAAACAAGCGTCTTTCTTAAAGTGGAGTCGTGCAGAAATTGCGAAAATGGCGTATAACGTCATTACGCCATCCGCCCCTTGATCAGAGCGTTACCTTTGTTATGAGGAGTTATTCGATGTAATGCATTACATCTGTTGGATTGCGCTATGCTAATTATGAGGATTAACATGTATTTGTTATTCTAACCTGTTGTGTAAAAACTATCTTATTTGTTTACAAACTGGATTGTTAAAGTTTGTTTTGTTCGTTCAATTAATTAGTAGTATTGTTGGTTTTGAATTTGTAGGTAATATCTATTGGACGAATCGGCTGCCGGGCAGCGAGTCTGGTCAGGGCGTGATTGAGGTGGCCCGCGTCAGTGGTTCTCACCGTTACATCGTCGCGTACGAAGCGAACGATATTCCTCGCAGTGTCATTTCTGATCCAGTGTCAGGGTAAAGCCTTCACCATTTGACGCTAGCTCTTATTACCTGTCTGTAATACTTTAGGTATATATTTTGGTTGAATTCGATCGGCATTCATCGAAGTTGGTTGGACGGAAGCGATCGCGTGACTGTGGTCAAGGGCAAAAACATCACCGACATATCTGTGGACGTTTTCTATCGTAGGCTGTGCTGGCTGGATCACAGTATAAGTCATATCGCCTGTTCGAACTACGACGGCGACGACTTGAAGATTGAGTACGCGTTCAGCCCTGATCTCAGCTATGTGACGACGTTCGCCATCAATAACGGCCGTCTTTACTGGAGCGACAGGTGAGATATACAATAGCCAGCTAGCCAACTAACACTGGCGACAGCTGACGTCCTCTTTATACTTTTGTCTTAATTGTGCTGTTGGAATCTAGAAAAATGCAAAACGGCAGCATAATGATCGCAAGCATAATCCACGATAGCGCGGTTCCCGTCCGAAGCATACAGGTCACGAAACATCGTATTGAATCATACGTCACTGACCTTCGAATTTACGACGTGAACGCGCAGACAGGTGCATAGCAACAAATTGTTGCTTATTTTCCTCCATGTTTTCTGTTGCTTTTGCGTTCCAGGTTCCAATCCGTGTGCGATCGACAATGGAGGCTGTGAGCAGCTGTGTTTATTCCGAGGCCCTGCAAACGTTCACGTGTGCCGATGTTCGTTCGGCCAGTTGAAAGAAGACAATAGAACATGTGCCCGTATGTACTAATACTTCTTTGCACGCTTTCGTTTCTGTTTCGATAGTTTTGCTTAGGACTGTTTCATATGGCTTCCTAGAAAGGTCAGTAGGTTGCCGTGATTATTTAGTTAGTGAGAATACTGCTATACGCGGCTTACTTTTACTGCAGAGTTCTCAATACCATCACTGTCATTTCGATGAGAAGCTTTCATTCTGCTCGTGATTGCTGATCCCAGTTTCATTATGCTCTCCCAGTGAATCTCAGTCCTTTCCTGACGAATCTCTCATTATTCTTGTGAGTGGACTTGAATTTGTCTTAGTGGTTAGAAATGTGTCGGCACTGGTTACCGTTACTTTGTTAGTCGACCATTTTGAGGTCAGTGGCGTCGGCTGTCGTAGGCGTCTCAGGTAAATACTTTCCTCCAAATGTGATGATCAGGTGAATACTTTGGTTGTTGTTTGCTCTCATGGAAGCAAACTCAAATTTGGCCTCACCCAAAGCGTTGTTGTTTATGTAGAATTTTATGTTCCTTGATTTTCTCAAAATGTCCAAATCTCCATCACCATAGATTATAAATGCACTTTTGTGAAGCTGTCACGTAGTGAAGCCGATTGTTGCGATGTTCTGCTTTACACTATTCTTTAAGGGACCACCTAGATCGACGTGGAAATAAACATAAAATTTCCGTTTCGTTCAGACCCTGAATCACTTTGGTATGCACATATGCTAAAAATTCATTTGTTAGGCTTTGGTGAAACTCTTCCCGCTTAGCGTTCTTCTACAGACTTGGACTTTCAGGAATGTTTTCTGCTAGAACATTGATCTGTAGCCCATCTATTGTTGCCACATAGTTGAGTCTGTGATATTCATAGCACGGTTTCGTAAGAACTTATATAATAGATAACTTAATTATTTTTTATATGATCCTTACAATTTTGTGAATATTAAATAATTAAGAAATTCACTGCTTATTGCAATGCTGCGTTCTTACTAGTGATTCACATTAGTTATGCTGTTGAACTTTTAGCGTATCGAAATTTTTTGGCCTATTCTCGCGTTCACAGTATTGACTTCAGTTATCTGGATGTTGCAAATGAACCAAATTCTCCATTTCCAATGATCGGAAATCGTCATTATGTTCGAAACGTCGTTGGCCTGGCTTTCGACTACGAAGCGCAGCGCTTGTTCTACTCAGACATCCATTTTGGTAGCATTTTTGTCGTGTCCATGAACGAAACGCAGAATAACCGACCCGTCATAACTGAATTGGTTTCAAGTGCGTTAAGTTGATCCGGCATGCTGATGTATGTTATTATTCGATGTGCCTTTCAGGCGAGGGTTCGGTCGAAGGTCTTACGTTCGATCACGAACACAAAGACCTTTACTGGACGAGTTACACAAACGGTAGTATAAACCGGGTACACGTTGAAGGCCGACTGACTGATGGACTGAGACCGTTCAAGGTGTTACAGTTGGACAGCAGCAGCGACAAGCCACGTGGCATCGCCGTTGATCCTTGTCAGATGTAAGCTAGTGGCACAAGATCTGTTTAGTTTGTCATCGTTAACCTTGTTTCACTCTTTCAGGCGTATTTATTGGACCAATTGGAACGACAACAGACCGAGCATCGAGCGGTCATACCTGAGCGGGGCGGATCGCCACGCAATCATCAGCACGGACATCAAGACGCCAAACGCGTTGGTGATTGACTTTAAGACCAGAAAGCTGTTCTGGTCTGATGCTCGTTTGGACAAAATTGAACGCTGTGAATACGATGGTACAAATCGCGTGGTAAGTCACTTCACAGACTAGGTCTTTCCGACTTTTCTTCTTTTCGTCCACTTCTGCCTGCTTGATCGCCGTGTTCTGTGTAGGTCATTTTGAAGGGCAAACCGAATCATCCGTTCGGATTAGCCGTGCACGAAGACTACCTTTACTGGACCGACTGGATTCTTCGAGCTGTGGTTCGCATCAATAAATACACAGGCGGTGACTTTACGCTTATTCGTCAGAACTTCTCGCGCCAGCCAATGGCTATCATTGCCGTATCAAACTCGTCCTATCAATGTAAGTTCACGCTTTCCAATATCGTATAGCTTAGCTTCGCACCCTTGAAAAAGTAGTTTGTAATGTGCTTACTGGTCTGAAACTGTCAATTTTCTTAACAAGATATACTGTATACAAAACTTTGCAGATTCCTGCATTCTCATCTAGCTCTTGATTCTTTGCGAACTTCTTAGAGAGAACTTTTTCTGAAGTGCAGGATGATGCTTCTTTCTGCTTTCAGCACCGTGATTCCGACATCTTCTTAGGATTGTGAAATGCCTGCAAAGATACCAATTTGATAAGAGATCTGATTTTTTTGTAGTATAGGTGACTTTTGTTTTAAGGTGCTGGCACACCCTGGATCAAATTTGGATTATTAATCGTTTTGTTAGTTTTACTTTCACTAATGCTTAATTATTTA